CGTGTTTTGCTGTTTGGGATGCGCATTTGGCATCAAAATCTCTCCTCTTTGGTCACAAAGTCCATATACCCAACTGCTGCATGGGCCACCTGGGCAGCGACGCTGTCCTGGCTCATGCTAGCGTCCTTACGGTCTTTATTTTGAGGGGGAATTTTGATAATGGTGGCTACGATATGTTTTTGGAGCTGGAAATCGCTGCTGGTGGAGTACTAGGAGGTGGCATTAAGAGTCTCTTAAATGAAGCAGGTTCGCAGGGATGTGGCTGATGCGAGGATGTTTCTGGGACAAAGACAGATGCTTTTGTCCATAGAGGAGTAAGCATCAAGCTCATGCATACAGCCAGGCCACGAGGAGTTTGCACATCCCAAATATTTTGTATAATTCTATTTTATTGGCCTGAGAAATGCTGGCAAGGGGAGAAGGGCTTTCTGCCAGACAGAAGAAATGGGCTGCGAGAGATCTGGCTCGTTGGCTTTTGCCAGGGTTATAAATAGCAGAGATTGGATGAGAAATCACACCTTTCAAAAGAAAAAAATACCCCCGGACATTAAAGATGCTGGAACGCGTGGTGATTTAGGTCATGAGGCCGTGGGAAATAGTCGGTGTTACTGCTCCGAGCCTTGGCTGCAGCTGAGCCTGGTGCTGCCTTCCCCTGCTAGCCAGGGCACGAGGCCGGCCACGCTTGCGTCCCTTGCCCTAAGCGGGAGGGTTTTTTCGACGTCCGCGTCCCTGTGGGGCGGAGGGTGAGGGCCTCTCCTGTCCGCAGGGAATCAAGGACTCCATCTGGGGCATCTGCACCATCTCCAAGCTGGATGCCCGGATCCAGCAGAAAAGGGAAGAGCAGAGGCGAAGGAGAGCAAACAGCGCGCTGGCCCATCGGAGGTTTCACATGGAAGAGAAGAAGCAGGAGAAGTGAGTACGGGGCCTGACGAGCCGTAAATCGGGTAATTCTATCGAGGGCAGTGGCAGAGCGAGCCGCTCCGCCCGGAGCTCTGAGGCGCCCGATGAGTTGCAAAACCTCTGCAAGTCATAGTGATTTAGCAGTGCTTGTGCTGCTTTTTTTTTTTAATATCTGTCGTGTCGCAGTAGTCCGGCTAAACAGGAAGTTGGGGTGAGCGGGATTGAAGGAATAAAGCCGTTAGCGTTGCCCGCACTTGTGACCATCTCCATAAAAATCCCTGTCAGAGACCTGGGTGTCGGGGAAAGCGTGTCCATTTGCTAATGGTCCGTAAAGCCGATTGCACCGAGCCAATAAACAGGAAAAATGGGAGGCAAAACACCCTTTTTCCCCTCCGTGTGATGGAACTGGGACTGTTGCCGTGAGATATGTCAGACCTTTTACGTTGTTTGACAATTAAACGTATGCAGTTTGCTTGAAATAGTAAGAATAGAAGGTGTACAAGCTGAAAGAACGTGGATTTCTGGGTTCCTTTTCTTCCTGAATGCTCGTGCCACCTCTCAAAGGTACGCCCGCTAGTCACAGGATCAGGAAAGGAACGGCAGATCAGACCCAAAGCGTCTTTTTTTCCTCAGCCTCGCTGCGTTCTGCAGCCGTCTGCAAAGCGGCTGCATCCGCTGAGGCTGGAAATGCCGGAATTATATCCACGTGGGAGCATAACAGCATCTGTTCTTGTGTCTGACTCCCAAACTGCGCCGCGATGTTTCTCCGCTGCCCTAATTACAGTCGGGCCGGCGCTTAACGTGGTGACGTTAGGCCGGTAAATCGCTTTTCAACGTGTATTTACAAATTATTGCGGCTCGCTCAGTGGTTGTCTGACTTTATCTCACGGTGATGGAAAAGTCTCCCGTGATCCTGATCCCGGACCACAGAGGTTCCTGCACACGGGCTGCCCTTGAAGAATTAGGTATAATTGGGGGGGGGCGACTAAACAGTCGCATTTTGCTGGTTTTCCTGGTAACAAAGTCCCTTTGGTAGCAGAGGCTGACTGGAAAGGCGCTACCGAGTCCCACAGAGCTGCTTTTGCACGTCCTTGCGCACCCAAGCTGAAACACCAAGCTGAAACAGGCTCTTCCAAGGACAAAAAGCACCCAAAAAGCCCTAATTTTAGCATGGCCAGAGTTCTGAGGAGAGCAAAGCCCGAGGTCTCTCATAAAGGCTTAAAAATCTGGAAGAAAGCTTCGCTGTTCTTCCGTGTGGGTGCAGACACGGGGAATTAATGAAGGGTGAGAGCGCCTCCCCGAGGTGAATCTCCCCTAGAGCGTCCCCTGGCCGAAACCTGGCGCGAGTCCGTGCAGGGATTTCTTCCCGGATTCCCGTGTTCCCCTCAGCTCAGGTGCGTCGCTGGCGTTGAGCTGGTTCTCCACGACGTTCCTACAGTGTCCGAAACGCGGGAGGGAAGCGGTTGTCGCTTCCCAGGGGGTGTTTGTCCGGGCGCTGGCACCTTAACGCCGTGTCTCCCCCATCTCTCTCCCGCAGCGAGCCCCGGATAGTGAGCCGGATATTTCAGTGTTGTGCCTGGAATGGAGGCGTTTTCTGGGTAAGTGGATATTTTTCTTACTTTTTACCTTCAAAACCCCACTCCGGCCCATGTACGCTGTCAGGAATCGTCGTTCCTGCTAAATTCCCAGTCCCCACGCTGTATTTTAAGCAACCCGATACGGGATATCGGACCGGGGGCTCGCTTGGGAAACCCCCGCGTGAATCCTGAGCTGCTTTTCCAAGTCTTGGAGCCTGCTTTTCGCCCAAATATTCAACTCCTGCTCCGTTGCGGCTGTACCGAGTGGAATATTGATGATCCTAAAGACGTTTCCTCGGCTCTGACCTCACCACAGCTGTTCCACCGGGCTCATCCGTAACGGACCGGCCCCTTGGCAGCCTGATAAATCACCGGCTTCGTTTTTCCCGGTAGACTGTGGCCGGGTATGAGTAATCGGCGTGGAAATATTAAAAGGGAAAGTGCTGGATGATGGATTTGGGGCTGGTTAAGCCCAGATCCTTGGGTCTCTGCGCTGGTGGGTCCGCGGCCCCTCACCCTTCTCCCTTCTCCCCCCTAGCTTAGCCTCTTCCTGTTCTACCGCGTCTTTATACCCGTGCTCCAGTCGGTCACGGCACAGATCATCGGTGAGTACCTTTCCTGGCTTTGTGCATTACGGATTGGGGAGGGGGCGTCCCCCTTTTTTGGGGTTTTCCTTTGTCCCATCGGGCTGTTCCTCACGCTGCTGTCTCCTTGCCTGGTTTTTTCCCCCGTGCTAATTGAGGCCGTCGCTAATTGTTTAGTAGAAGAGCGGAGAGACGGGTGACCCCGCGAGCGCGTGTTGGGGATTCAGCTCCTGGGTTTTCCTGCTCGTATCGGGATTTTCGGGATATTTTTATGAGTAAATAAAAAGCAAGCGGGTGGGAACGTTCCTTTAACGAGCAAAGGTTTGGGCTTGAGGATTTCTCCTTGTCCTCGAGCGCTGGGCTCGAGAGAAATCCCCCCCAGGAGACGGAGCTTCCCGCCCCGATTCCTCACGTCCTTCTCGTCCGTCTGTCCGTCCAAGGCGACCCTGCCCTGCACGGCGATGTCTGGTCCTGGCTGGAGTTCCTCCTCACCTCCATTTTCAGCGCGCTCTGGGTGCTGCCCCTCTTCGTGCTCAGCAAGGTGGTCAACGCCATCTGGTTTCAGGTAGGCGTGGGGGAGCCCGGGCCCCGCACCCCGGGGACGTGACCCCCTCCCAAATACGCGCTCCGGCGGGCGGGAGCGCCTCGGTGACACCGTGTCCCCCCCCTCTTGCACTCCCTTTCCCTGAACCCCCCCTTCCCTGTTTGGAATTTCACTTCCCTCCGGCCCCTTTTTCCCCGCAGGACATCGCGGATCTGGCGTTCGAGGTTTCGGGCAGAAAGCCTCACCCCTTCCCCAGCGTCAGTAAAATCATCGCCGACATGTTGTTTAACCTCCTGTTGCAGGCGCTCTTCCTCATCCAGGTGAGATCCCCCCCCAAAAAACACACACCCACCCCCCGCCCCGGTCCTCTCCCGCGAATCCAAAGTGCCCCTCGCCTGCTCTTTCCTTTTTTT